CGGCGCAACACAGCGCGCAGAGGGCGCACACCAACAGCGCACGGCCAGCCATCGCCACTCCTCGCACAGGCACAAGCACACGCACAGAGTCTAGCGAGGGGCGGAGAGAAAGAAAGAGTGCGTGGGAGGGACAAACACACAGACACACACATCAGCGGCCCGCGCAATGGGTGCATTCAGCCAACACACAGAAACAGGGAAATAGTAAATAGCCGAGGCATTGCCGTCCCGCTAGGGAAGAAAAGCAGAAGCAACGGCAGAAGAGGGTTTTGTGTACGCTCCTCCGCATGTGCCCTCACGATAGCCCGGAGCGGCAAACGGCACACCGCAGCGGGTCCCAAGTGCCGCTTCCCTCCCGCCACACACGCGCACACACACGGACGAATTGGGCGTGCCGGAGGCCCCGATTCTTCTCAGCGCAGAAGCTTGAAAGGCATAGACGCAGCAACTCCTGCTGGCCTCGTTTGCTGCGGGCATCTACTCCGCGAGGGAGTGCAGCGTGGCTGTTTGCGGCGGCACCATGCATTGCTGCGCCAGCAGCGTGCAAACGCTTGTGAGGACAAAGACGAGGTCGTTGAGGTGGCAATACATGTCGCTCCGTGGCAGCTGCTCCGCGAGCACGGTGGAGAGCACGCTGGCACCCTCCAGCCGCGGGGACAGGCGCAGGAGCAGCAGCTGCCCGACAAAATATGCGCCCATGCCCACCGTCAGCCCGAGCACGGTCGTGTCCACGCTAAGAAACGTTGTGTACGTCGTCACCAGCCGGAAGACGGTCAAGAGCAGGCCGCGGATCGAGGTCACAATCATCCATGCGTTGAGGGAAAGTGACACCCACACGATGCGCTGCTCCCCCTCACCGCCCTGCGAGGTCGCGAGGCCGTAGGTCTCCAGAAACCGCACCACGCGGGTGGCCGCGTCCTCCGGCACCGGCGGCGCCGGCGCGTCGGAGAAGAAAAACCACCGCAGCAGGCTGATGGCGGTGAAGAGGAGCTTCAGGCAGGCGTGCAGGAGCAGCAGGAGGCCCAGCAGCGCGTCGACCAGCCCGCGCCACGTCGCCCCACTCTCCGCCGAGCGCACCAGCGAGCCGATCTCACTCATCTGCAGGAAAACCGCCGTGCTGACCGCCTGGATGCCGTCCTTCTCCGCCGTCAGTCGGGCAACGTCGTCGTCGCCCTTCTCGCCCCGCGCCCCCCCGCGGACGGTGGAGCGGAGCGACTTTGCCACCCAACGCCACACCCGCGCCCCCGTGTCAGCGCCGGGCGACGCCGCCGGCGCCCCACGCCGCACCTCCGCGATCTGCCGCTGCTTCGCCACCCACAGCGAGAGCAGGTGACGCTGCCGCTTTGCCAGCACGCCCAGCGCCACCCGCGCCCGCTCCCCGCTGTCCTTCACCACAAACGGCCGCAGGAACGCGGCGGGCGTCGTAACGGCGGCGTAGCCGGAGAGGGCCGCCACCGCGAGGACGCCGAGCACCGCAACCACCGCGGCGGCGGCGTCCCATAGCGCCGCCGCCGCCGCCCACGAGAGGCAGGGGCCGGAGAGGCGCTGGAGCCACGCAAGCGGGAGCGCCCAGGCCCTGAGAAAGAGCAAAAGTAGGCTGCCGCCGATCAGCAGCGCGTAGCAGCGACGAAAATGCAGGCCGTGCAGCAGCAGCCGGGCGATGCAGAGCGGACACAGCACCGCGACGGCGACGAGGTCGGCCACAAGGGCGAGGCGGAGGGCGCGGGTGCTGAAGCGCGCGGAGAAGATGAGGCCCCCGAGCTTTGAGGCACCCAGCAGCGCAAGGCTGAAAATGAGCGTCGAAAGGGCAAACACGACGACAAAACAAAACTGCGTGGTGCGTCGCTCAATGGTGTACACGAACACTAGGCGTCCGAAGAGGATGCCGAGGTAGCACAGCAGCAGAAACAGCAGCAGCGCGAAAAGAGCCTCCAGCATTACTTACTACCCCGTCCCCCACACTGCAGTACGACTAGAAGCTTGTACTAATCCCTCGTTGCCTTCCGCCAATACGACACGCATACCCCTACAGATGCAGACCCACAAACACACAAACACATGCGCAGCAAACGAGAGAACAAGCGTGGTGGACGCAGCGAGTCGAGACCCGGCAGGAAACACGTCGCTGTGAAGAAAAAGCCTGGCAAAATCACCTGTGGGTTGGTTTCGCCAGCGGGGCTGGGGCGGCGACAAGCCCCTCCCTTCGCCTCGCTTTGTCCCTTGTAGCAGAAAGAAAGAAGACAGTCACCCACCTCCCACAACGCTGACCGCGGCGCCGGTCCTGTCAGCGTCGTCAACGCCCCCATCATTCCTTCTCGCCTCCGGCAGGGGCTTCGTGCACGGCGGGGGTGACGTTGCCCTCGCCGGCCCATCGCCTCACAGTGGACCGGAGCGCCTCCCACTCGTCCGTGTTCGGCAGCGAAGGGAGGGGCGGGCTGTCGCCAGCGCCAGAACTCACCGCGGCGATTTCAGTCGCACCATCGCCCGTTGCCGCCGCCGCCGCCGCGAAGTCGCCGTCCCCCGCAGTCATCGCCGCGGCTCCCTCTCCCGCATCCCCGCCCCGCGGCGGCGGCGCACTCTCCACAAGGGAGGAGACGTTGGCTGCGTAGTAGGCACGCAGCCGCCGCTTGTCTCCATCGGCGTCCATCCAGCCAAGCGCCGTGCGGCAGGCGACGGACGCGGTGAAAATGACGCCCGCTACGCAGTAAATGGCAAGAAGCAGCAGTGCCACGTCGAGCGAAAGAAACAACACGTGACGTGTTACCACGCGGTCTGGAACTCCCCACATGATGGCGTCAGCGGTGGGTGGAAGAATCATGTGCCGTGTTAACGCTGCCGGGTCCGTGCACCGCAGCCGGGCTCGCAGGCGGTGGTAGGCGTAGCGCACCTCGCAGTAGCCGTGGAACGCGTCGATAATGAGGTGCTGCAGCCACGGGTTGTTGGACGACACCAGTGGCCAGTCGATGGGTGCCCTGTCATCCAGCGAGAGAAGCTCGCTTGCGGACCGCAGCGCCAGCCCCCACAGACGCCACTGTCCGGGAAGCTGCACGCTTGGGAAGGCCAGGTAGGCGTGCGCGAAGGCCTCCGCCAGCAGGAGCCTCGAGTCGGCGTTGGACGCGTGCACAAAGCAGCATATGGGGTGGCAGACAGAGCCCCAGTCGACGTGCTCCGCGGTGAAGGCGGTGAGGGGGACCCACTGCACCGCCTCCACCTCGTGGCGGGAGAAGCGCAGCGTGGGCGCCAGCTCCCCGGTGTGCAGAAAGACAAACCGGGACTGCACCGCCCCCGCCGCCTGAATGTGGCGGCTGCGGATGGCGTAGTCGCGCAGACGGCCCAGGCAAACGAAGTCCCTCGACTGCAGCGGAATCCCAAGCATTTGGTCCACCTCACGCTCGACGGCGCGCCTGTCATTCGCGTCGCCCGCGTCGCGTCGGCCGCCGGGGAACGTCACGCTTCCACTCCACCGGTCGGCCGCCAAATCGGCCCGGCGGACAAACAGCACCCGCAGTGAGGAGGGCAGCGCGGCAGTGGCGGCGCCTGCGAGGGGCTGCAGCAGCTGCACGGAGGAGAGGCCGGCGTCGCGGCAGGAGAGCAACCGGTGGGCGGCGCGCTGCTGCTCCGCCTCACCGAAGCGCAGGACGATGGCGACGGCGGAGCGGTGGGTGCCGGGCACGTACACGTGCAGCCGGCGCTCCTGCATGCGCCGCGCCACGCCCAGGAGAAAGTTGACATCCACGGCGGGCAGCGGCATCGCCTACCCTTTGACAGGAGGGGGGGGGAAGAAGCTGGGCGGTGCCACACGTGCCGCGGGAGGAAGCAGAAGATGCGGCGCAGTAAGAAAAAGAAGAGACGAGGTAGGAAGCAAAGAGCATTTCAAAGAAAAAAAAAGAGAAATATAGAAATAAAAAGGAAGGGCGAAGGGAAAGCAATCAACGGTGCTCATGGCACACATAAAGCGGGCAGAGGGGGGAAAAAAAACAGAGAACAAAAGAAAACAGAAAAAAAACAACATATATATATATATGTAGTCAAAAAGGAGTGGGAGGAGGAGGTTTGCGTGAGCGTGTGAGTGCTTCCGCGTGTGTGGAGAAATCTAATAGTTCTGCGCCACCGCCCTCCCCCCCCCCCCCCGCAGCACACAGCTCACTCTCCTTGTT